AAATGAGTTTAGTTTGCATGTGAATGAAATCTCATTTTGATATGAAAGGATGGGCACCACCTTGCGAAAGAGGCTAAAGGTAATTTGGAAATGGCCTTTTGGGGTGTGATCATCGTTTTCAAATAAGTGTTTCACACAAAAGAATGTTGCAAGACATGCTGCATGGCAAAATGTGTGGGATGGGCCGCTAGCTGCCTTTCAATCTGACGGGCACAAGATTTAATCCTTCAGGCCTCAATAATATTGCCGATCATAATCGTGTGTTGTGTAGCGTGCAAAGTCTGAAGTTCAAGTCTTCCATTAACAACATATCCTTGAGAATGTGCAGTTCCAGAAAATATGCATATGCACGCCTTCCCCCATGGAAGGAATTTTTGCTAACCCTCACCCCTCTGGAAATTCCAATTAAGCTACAGTGGAACCTCAATTTTACAATCATTCATTTAATTATATTCCCAATTTAAGGATCAACATTCTGTGTCCTGGCAAAAGTTATAGTTAATTGTATGGAGCAGAATCCTGATATAACAATATTTGGTTCAACGATACATCCGGTACAACGATAAAAATCTAGCAACCCAAGCATAAAGGTTTTCCTGTTACATTGATACAATTAACATCACATACCAAAGGAGAGTGACAAACACCCAGCAAACTGTGGATGGACATATTTAGGTTATGGTTCAGTTTTTACATTTGCGCATTGCAATTACTGTAATTAAAATACAGTGCAGATATCATGTTGCAGAAACTTAATGTTTTTATTGATTGCGGGTGGAAAAATTAATTAATGACCATATCCCGATGTTATTACTTGCTTTGCCAACAAATCATTAAATCAGGAGTTTGTTTACAACTTCCCGATTTAACGATATGATTTTGACCTTGCCTTATCATGAAATATGTTGTTCCAGAAAATATCCATACCCCTCCCACAGAAGGTTTTTTGGTTAGAACCCTCCCACTCCTCCAGAAATTCCAGTTTGGCTTTGTAATTTCTTTTTAAAAATTTTGACATTTGAAACTCCCCTTCAGAATTTTCAATAACATTCCCTGGGGCTGGTATGGTTATTTTCTGAGAATGCACCATCGAGGTTCCACTGTACATCTATTTCAACTTTTTGGTCTTATGGAACCCCCACCCCCCTGGAAATTCCAGTCTCTTCTGTGGGGGAAGAATGGATATTTTCTAGAACAGCAAAATGGGTGCCAGCTTCAAGTTGAAGGAGACCATTTTGCCTTCTCTACACAACTGAACACACTCAAAGGTTGAGGCATGGGTGCATTTGTCAGCCAGGCCCAAGATATGTTTTAATCGTGACAATAAGCTTACAACAAACTGGAAGAGAGATACATCAAATAACATCCTTCATGTGCCATAGCCGGACATGTAAACCCCAATAACCGCATATTAGGAAAAATAGGGACTGTGTACCCCTGACAAATGCAGTGGCACCACCTTTGGGGTTTTAAGTTTGATATATAAACAACAGAATTAAAGATAAATCAGATAACACTTTTTACACTAAAAATAAACCTTATGCAAAAGTGCTAGTGGCAAGGCTGTCTGTAGAACGTCTCAAGTTTTTCAACCGTCTCTTTATACAAACGGACTAGCCATGAGCCTTTGTGTACTATGCTTGCACCCAGTTCTCTGTTCCGAGTCGGCAAAATATTATTTTATGTCAATACCAATTATCACAAATTACATTTTCCCGCACTCCACTTCAGTGTAGACAATAGCAGCAGGATGATGTTGGTGAAGACATTTTCATAAATGTCTTGTACTTTGGTCCACCCTGACTTTGACCTGGTGCCATTGTTCATTGAGATGGAACTCCAAACGTCACTCAAAATGATCTGCTTTTCCTACACTTATAGCAATCAGCTCTTTCACCTTGTGAACGAAGCCCAGAGTTGAAACTACAAAGAAACAACGGACCCCTGCATTGTGATTGTAATATTGGTTTATTTCAACAGGACGTTAGCCGAATGCAAGTGGTCAATCTCACTGACGTTAAAAAACTAAAATGTCACAAGTTCAATAACTACATGCCCTCACAGAAATAACACTCCATGAGCAAAATATAGGGCAATAACCTTTGAAATTCAAGTCCACTGATTAATATTTACAATGTCTGACTGTTATTTATAAACACTTTCAATACACCAGGAATTACCTTGCACTCCTTAGCACAATATCCAATTTCTCCTTAGTGACTCCAACACATTTTGTAAAGGTTAAATCTGAGAATTTAATGATCTGTCAAGACAGTCAAGGTAGAAATCAGATCTTTATCACTTGTGAATATAAGGATTTTTTCCCAAGTAAATCTAGTTAAATTTACAGGGTTTAACGTTTTCAATATAATACCGAAAACTAAAAGTTCTCTGGCCATGCTCGAAATCTGCTCATATACTTGACTAGTTCAAAATGGTAAATCACTTTCACGTAGTCAAAAAAGAATTTCCGCAACAATTTAATCATACAGGTAATAAGGGCGGGACTAAGTTTTACAAAATTCGAACACAAATTCGTACAAATTTACAAGATCACACACTTCTTTTTCTTCTTTCCCGGTTTTTGCTTGACCGGTTTTAAGCCATCTTCTTTTCGTAATTTAATTTCCCTCATGAGATCAAAGAAGACTTTGTCAACGTTCGCTTTCGTTTTAGCTGACGTTTCGACACATGCTACGTTCCATTCCTTTGCTTTTCCTTGAGCTTCATCGGCTGTAACCTGCCGTTTGTCTTCTAAATCAGCCTTGTTTCCTACCAACAAGAAAGGGATATTTTCATCGTCACCCTTCACTCGAAGGATCTGCTCTCTGAATTCCGATGTTGCTTCAAAAGATTCCGGTTCAGTGATTGAGAACACGCACAGAAATCCCTCGCCGCTTCGGAAATAATTGTCGCGTATCGCGGCGTAATCTTCTTGCCCAGCTGTGTCCAAAATATCGATCTGGCACTCTTCACCGTCTAGAACAACCTTCTTACGATAACTATCGGCTTTTGTAGGTTCGTAGTCTTCTACAAACTGGAATCAACAATGATAAAATCAAACACTTCAGTTAGTTTATAAACAAACCTGATGAACTACCCACCTGCACAACTCTCTAAAAATGCGGACATTATCATCTTTTTACACGATCTTCATTGTTATAAAGCTTATAACCTTAAAGGTAAGCTTATGTTTACGTATAAAGTAAACTACTAGATAGCGAGAAAACGGTTTTCTTGAAGCGGTTTATTAATACGCACCTCGTCATACATAAACTGTAAAGTCAGGGCTGATTTACCAACCCCACCGCTTCCCACCATAATCACTTTATGTAAACCTAATTGCTTCTCCTTGGCATTCGACATCTTGGCAGTCTGTTTGCCGTTTGAAGTCGTCTAAATCTTCGAGAGCATACACCGATCAAGCAGCTTACCTTCCTGAAGGTTCAGCCCCACACATTGAGCAACCGCGCCTAAAATCTGTATGCGTGACGTCGTGGGGAATGAAATCTAATCACGTGACAGAGATGTCATGACTATTTGTAGTCTACCAATATATAAAGTAAAGGTCCGGTAATACGGGCAACATTTTTCTTCAACTTGTCTCGCAACATTGCTGCATTGCAAGTTGAACCACATTGTTGAGCGTATTACCACGCCTGTGACCAACTTGTCTCGCAGTAAAATACAGTGTTGCAAGTCTGCAGAATTCTACAGGTATAATTGGTCAATCGTGTGTAAATAAAGATGGCGCCTTCTTTAATATATTAAATTTAGCATTTCGACGAAGTTCCACTTCGACTTCTGGCTGTCATTTTTTTCTTAATTTTCCGTGCTAGCGAAGTTCTCTCAGTATGAAGCTCAGTGCCGGTTTCAGGTAGCTGGGCGAAAAGTGGTATTTTTGCGACAGTTCTTCTAAGTCTTTTGCCTTTTTTCCTGCTTATTTTGAAGGGACAAACGAGGTGTCCCAAAGACTATGATAGCGCTCGATGTCTTTGTAAAGGGCAGCTTTATGACTTTCCGAGAGTTGCTGGTCTACTTCGAATTCACGCTCGTCTTCACCGTCCGCCATGTTTTTTTTACTTGCCGCGTTGCCACGCTTCGCGACAGCCAATCACAAGCGTTGATTTCAACTTTGTTGCGAGGCAAGTCGTAGCTTCAGTGGTAATACGAGCAGCAAAACTAAAATTTGTTGTAGAAAGTAGAACTCGAGTCTACTTTGCGCAACATGTTGCCTCAACTTGCAACACTGTATTTTGCTGCGAGACAAGTTGGTCACAAACGTGGTAATACGCGCAACAATGTGTTTCAACTTGCAATGCAACAATGCTGCGAGACAAGTTGATGAAAAATGTTGCCCGTACTACCGCACCTATAATTTCCATTCAACCAAAAATTCGGGAACTTTCAAAACAGAGGCAAATGTTCACGAAATTTCCTTGAAAAATTTCCAGAAATCCAAAAATTGTTAAATTTTCAAACGGCAAACCATTCAACCAAAAATTCTGGAAATTATACGAGGGCTATCAAATGGAACAGAAATTCCTTGCGAATTTTTTTTTTTAAGACCCCCGGGTATAGGTTGCAAAGTAGCCCTCTTTTGGGGAATTTCTGTAAAATGCTGTTCCACTCGCCTGTAGAAATAAGCTGACATAAAAAAAAAAAATTGATTTAGAGACCTTCCTCCCATGCATATTGTAAAATCCCACGTTACAGCCCTGTGTTTATGTAAATTGGTAAGTGGTTTAAGGTGAGCTTATAAACAGGGGGGACCTTATATCCCAAGGGCACATAAGCGGAATAAAAAAATGTTTCCAAACGATGAGATAATATGTATCTGAGAAACAAATTAAAGCTAACATACCATTATATTTAGAGCTGTTACCCTATTACCCTACTACCCTATTAGCCTGTAACTTTTGATTAAAAATTTGATATTTGTAAAGAAATGCAAAAGGAACGCACTTATACATTAGATGGGCTTATATCTGGGGGGGGCTTACTGGTTAACTGGGGGGGGCTTTAACATGGGATTTTACAGTTCACCATTTTCAGCACCGGTATGAACAACCAAAACAAGACAAAGAAAATTCATTATCACATTTTAAATAATGTCATGCTGGTCAATCATTTAATTTGAATCTTTTTTTTATACGATCTTGCCTCAGCAATAATAAATATGGATTCAAACCTTTAAACACCGCACACATATAAGAATACATTAACTCTCAGCAACAACTTTAAAGTCGCCTCATCAAGGAAAGTGCACCTTGGATAATTTAGCTTTTTTTTACGTTTGTCGTAAAATTCATTTGGCAGTCCTTCTCAATCCTTCTTTGTAATAGTGTTTCTTTTTTTTCATCTTACTATAAACTGTTAAGAAGCTTTTACTTTTTCATTTCCCAGGCTTAATTTGAAGCAAAAAACTGCACCATGATACTCTGCATATATGAAGACCTTTCATAAACAGATGAAGAACACAGGCATTCAATCCTTTTTTATTTAAGGCATTCAATACTTGTGACAGTGAAGCTTAACTGTATAAATATTTGAAATACATGCAGTGTAATGGTGTTTAGTATATCCTGATCAAGCAAGTTCTTAGGATACTGTATAAAAAATTTTATACCTGCAAGTGGAAAAGTATTTCACAATGCCACATTTCTGCCACTGTATGGTCAAAATTCTATTTATGAAATCAACACTTAAAAACTACCATTTTACATTTCCAAGTGTTGCACTCAAGCTAAACAACAATCTTAGCCATCTTTAAATGTTTTAACTTTTCCTAATAAATCAGTTTCACTGGCAGTAAAGTAACTATCCTTCCAAACTTCTTTGAGTTTTCCAAGCATTTTTCCAAACTCTGGCCCTGGCTTGACTCCAAGCTTCTTCAAGTGCCCTCCAGTGATTGGAAATTCTGGAATGCACCATGCTTTGATTTCCTGTGCATGTTCATGTCTTCCTTGATAATGCAAGAGTTCCACTACATGGCTTTTTAGAAGATTCTTTGCTTGTGTATTTGGTGCCGAGACTATCATGTCCTGATACGGCTTGAGAACATGCTCATGAGTTTTTGGCTGTCTGTGCTCAGTTGTAAACTTCCCCAGCGCTTTCTCGGCATTAGAAAGCTTCCAACATTTGGCAAGTTCTTCGGCTTCTGCAGCAGTCTTGACAAGGGAGCATAGCAAAGTTTCAGGTTGGAGTGGACGGATCTTATGTTCATTCCAGGCTCTGGTCAACTCTTGCATGCTTTCTTCACAATAACCAGGGAGACCTACAAATAAAATAAGATCTATGTTCAAGATATTGACTGAAAATTATCATCTGGTGTGTAAAAGGTACACTAAGGTAAAGTTTACATAAGCCATAAACATTTAAAGTATCCAAGTTTCTTCAGCATTGAGTGACTTGGAGTATTTCTACTCCCCCCTTGATGTGATGCTTCAAAACTTCAGGGTTTCCCCAAACATTAATAAAATTGCCAGAAATCATGTCTACACAAGAGTGACGAGAGACACTGTGAGAGTAAACTGTTTTGCCAAAAACATGATGCAGTGACGCCGTCCCAATGAAACCCTGCAACCCGAGAAAGGGGAGGGGAGAGGGGGGACGGGGTTGAACAAATTAAACAAATTGATTGAACAAATCTTAAAAGCAGGACCATAATACAGTTTATATTTCACAGAAAAAGAAATGCAAATTAAATCCCTTTCATATAAGTAGTTCACATGTATATGATGTCATTGATGTTGATGATGTGAAATTTTAATGAATCACTCACCGATGGATTGAGAAACATTCAGCTCATACATTCGGCGCAAAAGATCAGGCGTGTGATTTCCAGTCAAAATTTTTGAAACTTCCATCCAAATACGTTCCACAGAAATCTGCCTTAATCCATCAGAGCATTCTCGAATAACATTTAAAGTTGTTTGGTCGTGATTGTCCGCTTCCAAAGCTATTCTACCATAGAAACGAAAATATCTCAAAATTCTCAAGTAATCCTCCTGTATTCTTGACCTTGAATCACCAACAAATCTCACGCGATGATTGAACAAATCTTCTCGTCCACCAAAATAATCGTACAAGCTGCCGTCCAGCCCCAAACTCATGGCATTGAATGTGAGGTCTCGCCTTTCTGCATCCAGCTTCCAATCGTGAGTAAATTGCACTTTTGCATGTCTCCCATCAGTTTCAGTGTCAATTCGCAAAGTCGTCACTTCGAAATCTTGTTTATTGACATGAACTGTGATTGTTCCGTGTTGTAAGCCCGTTTCTATGTAGTGTATCTTATGCTGCTTGAACAGTTCAATCATTTCCGACGGCGTTGCATTTGTACCAAGGTCCACATCTTTTGGTGGTATCCCCAAAAGAATATCGCGCACCGCCCCTCCAACTATTCTTATGTCAAATCCTTGCTTTTGGAACGGTTTTGTAACGGTAAAGAGCTCTGGAGTTAGGACACTTTTGAATTCGAGCGAGTCCAGTTTGTCAACTGCACTGGTAGACATGTTTCCACGAATCGGCTGAAAAGTGTGCCCCGAAATAAACGGCGATTGCTTTAAACTGTTTCTTCTTAGCAGCAATCGCAGACAAAATGTCGTTTTGGACACGGTAACAAACATGAAACTGTTTTAGTTTCACCAGATTACCCTCCTTTTGACCACGCTCGCCCAATCGGCCATTTTTAATAATGCCGCTGAGATTTCAAATAGTACTTCAAGTATGCTTCATGAACGTTGTCGGGTCAAATATCGAGCCAATGCGCATTGCGATTCCGCCGCTCTCGGGCCTAATCGATTCGTGCAGCCGTATCAC